CATGGGAGGCTGTAAGGGCCTGGTGCAGAGGGGGACCCTGCCTCTGGGCGCAAAACAGATTTGGGGCTCTTTCTCAGGGTCTGCTCTGCTCTCAGCAATAAGGCTCCTGCCTCAGTTTTCTTTGACCCCTGGGCTCTGCCCACACTGGAGGGCACTAGCCCCAGCCAGGCCCCAGGCCCCCATTTAACTTACTGCATCTTGTCAAAGGAAGCCCAGGAGCTCAGAGCAGCCAGGTCAGAAAGCAGTGCGTCAGCAGGGCTGGCACGAGGCTGCCTGAGTCAGCGTGGTCTGCACTGAGGCTGCATGACTCTGTAGGATGCTCAGACAACAGTGACTCCACTTCTCATCGCTACGCCTGCATTTGGGGAATGCGAGTATGTATTTTTAATAGGGTCACAGCCTTGAGCCTTCAACTGCAGGCCCTGGTGCCACCAGCCCCCAAGCACAGAGATCAGGGAGGGGTCCTGAAGACACAGAGCCAAGTATTAAGCGGCACCCTGGCCCATGTGCCGGCCTGCGCCCATGGCCAGGTCCTTGCTGCCAGGGAAGCTCAGCGCAGCTGGTCACAGAGAGGCCCAGGGGCTACGCGGGTCAGAGGGCGCTGAGCCCCAAGCCCCAGACCATGCCTTCTGGCAGGACAAAGCGGGTTGCTGGCGCTAGGCTGGGCTGGCTCTCCCACAGAGGAGGCAGGGCAAGGCCCAAATTGCACTGAGGAAGCTCAGGTACCATTTGGTCCCTAATTCTGGGCCAGCCTCAGTCAGGGAACAGCACCCCTACCTGCCAAGGAGGATGTTAAAGTGTAGGTCCCTGGCAGGGTCTGCCGCGATCACCAGGGCCAATCCTCTCGCAATGAGAAACTGTGTTTTCTGGGGCCTGACCCTGGGCGCACCTGCCGAGGTGCAGAGGCACAAGCCAACCGTTTGTCCCATGGCAGGTTGGTGACAGTGAAAGACTGGGAGCAGCGTAAGACCCCGTCAGTAGGGTGGTCACCATGGGTGCCTGGGGTGCTGAGCCCAAGAGTGAGGGACAATCATGACACCTTACGTGAGAAAACCAAGTGCAGGGCTGTGTTACAAAGTGCTGCCATCCTGTAGACATTTAAGAAGTTATATATGAAAACTATTTGTAATTTATATGTAATCATATGTAATTTGTGCATATAAACTTCATAAAATTCAAATATATTTTTCTCTGATATCTATACGAGACGGGCCTAACAGTCTATGGAAGGAGCCACAGGACACTGGCCTCTGCTTCTCTCCTGGGAGGGCCAATGTGGGAGGGAGACCCCACTGGATACTGTTGTGAACCCGTAGATTTGGGATCCTGCTTGTCAGTACATCAGGTACTTAAAAAATACATTAAAATAAAAATATTCCTGAGCCCAGGTTTTCTGTGAAACTACTGACTAGAAAAGTAAAGACAAAGCTCGTGGGACCTGAGTGTTACCACGTGGCCACCCCGCAGGCAGGTATTTCCAGGCCCCCAGGTCCCACCCCAGCTTTGCTTCCCCTAACCTCTTGCACAAGCCCCTTTGCTCTTCCCCTGCCCTCCCTGACCACCAGCACTTCCCCTCTGGCTGGAGCCTGGGCCGGGGCTGAGTAGGCCTCCCCGCACTGCCTCGCCCCTGGGCTGCCCGAAGCTCCGGCTGCCGGGCTCCTCGCCTGCCAGCCCAACTCTCACCTTTTCATTCTCCTGCTCGGAACTCACACGCCCGCTTACCCGGCCCACGGTTTGCTGAGTGGCCTGGATCCCCTGGTCCATGGCTTCAGGGTTCTGCTCACTGAAGCCCCGTTCGGCTTCCCTGCCCACACAGCGCCTGGACTGAACTCCCTCTTGGTCACAGGTCAGCCTGTGAGATCCGCAGCTCATGCAGGTCCCACTGCCTGGGATCACCCCTTCTCCCCCTTTCACCCCACCCTCCAAGGGATCTCTTTCAAAGCCTGGCCTCAGGGACGTTCTGGATGCCCCTCCACCTCTGTCCCAGCCACCCACGTGGAGTCCCCGGATGGTCTGATTGCCCAAGCTGCCTGAGAGGGGCGCTGGCTGTGTGGGTAGAGCTCCTTTTGTGGAGACTGGCACCCGGAGAGGCCCACTTCCCCCCCTCAGTGCCCACATGGGCACAGCAGCAATGATGGAGAACATCCTCTCGGCCAATGATCTGTGGCCCAAATTCTTCTCCCAGAGGTGTTTGCTCACTGTGAAGGGCCATCTGGACACCTCCGTGGGGAGGCCCAGCAGAGGACGGAGGGAGGCTGCTCCACATGCACGTGAGGGCACAGACGTGTGCACGTGTGTGCATGTGCATGCACATTGTGTGTGTGCATGTGTGCCCCAGACCTTGCTCTGGAGGGGGAAGGTCACCACACCCTGCTCCAAATCCACAGATCCCTGGCCTCCTCCCCACCCTGTGGGCCAGGCCTCCCCTGGCCCCTCCTGGGCCCTCCTCCTACCTGGTCCCCCAACTTCTCAGCAGCGACTCTGTGTGTCCCCACCTGGCCCCTCTGTCTTGGCCTCCCCCAGGAGGCTCTTATCTGAGAAGCTTTCTGGGGCTTCCACAACAGTTAGCACAAGCTTGGCAGCTGCCAGATACATTTTCTCCAGTTCTGAGGCCAGAAGTTTGGGATTGGGGTGCCTCAGCTGGTCCCTCCTCCGGGGCCCCTCCTAGCTGCTGGGGCAGCCAGCATCCTAGGTGGCCATGGCTCGCTGCTGCACCTACAGCCTCTGCCTCTGTCCTCCAGCCTTCCTCCCGTTTGTGTCATCACACGGCATCTCCACTGTGTCTGTGTTAAAATCCCCTCTTCTTAAAAGGATGCTAGTCATTGGATTTGGGGCTCACCCCAAATCAAGGATGATCTCATTTCCAGATTCTTAACTTAATTATATCTGCGAAGGTGGTATTTTCCTGCAAGGTCACATTCTAGGTAACCTGAGGTTGGGACTTCAGCATGTCTTTGGGGGATGCAGTTGAACCCACATCCCTGTCTTCCACCAGGGGCCAGTCAGTTGATGCCTCTGCTGCGTGGCAGTCCCTGCCTTAGCCTGACAAGAGGTCATTGCACTAACCTTCTGACAGCTGGAGATAAAAGTGTGTTCTCCGGCCTGGGGCCATTTCCAGGGCATTCTGATTTATGATCGGATCTTTTGGGAGGATCTGAAAGGGCCGGCACAGCCGAGAAGGAAGCTGCTTCCCGCCTGATGGGGGCAGGGGCCCGTCTCAGTGACACGGCTGGCCCCTGGACTCAGGGTGCTGCCCGTTTGGGGGGCGGAGTCAGCAGGGAATAGTCATCACACCAGGGGTCACCGGGTGACAACAAGGACTCACGTGCCATTGATAATCTGTTGGTCATGGGAAATAAGTCCCCAAACTATTTGTTGTAACAAACCCAACTTTCTGCAGTAGTTATTACCAAGAACTAAAGACATCACTTCACTACTTTTGCTGAGTGAGGGGAAAGCCTTACTGGGGCTGGGGTGGGGCACAGCTGAGGACAGAGAGCGGAGCACCAAGGAGTCCTTGAAAATGGAAGGTGGGAACTGCCGGCAAGGCAGCCAGCCAGCAGAGTGGCTGGTGGCAGAGACCCCAGTGGGGAGAGAGACGGGGCTGCTGGATCCATGCCCTCGAGCCACCAGAGAGGCTGGGTGGGGGCAGTCCCAGTGGGAACGGGGATGAGCTGAGCCCCCAAGGGAATTTCTGGTCAGGGCAGGGGTGGTGTTGTAAATGGGCCTGGCCCTTGGCTATTATGGTGTCTTCCCCAAAATGCTCAGGGAAAGAGTTTGAGAGGGGCTGTAGAGGCGTAGGAGAGGGAGGTGCAACAGCGGGTGTGTCCCCACCCCAAGTCTAGGACTGAGGCTCCAGCTGGCAGGGACGCTGGTTGGGCTGGGGCCACCTGGGGGCAGGGATTGCTTCAGGGTCCCAAGTTCTCTGGGGCGAGGCGTTGCTTTCCGACACCTCCGGCCACTGTGTGCATTGTTCAGGGCCCCGGCCCCTCCCACTGGACGGAGGCCACCTCCCCCCGTCCCCCAGTCCCTGTTCTAGGTTTTCTGGCTGCTGCGCCACAAGGTGACTAGTAGACAAAGAGCCCCCATCCCACCCCAGGGGAAGGCGGGTCCCTGTGTGGCCTGGGGGCCCAGCAGAGGCTGCTCCTGAGCAGGCAGTGGGGTTGGGTCGGGGCCCTACCAAACGACAGCCACAAAGCCTGCGGAAGCAATGGAAGGCGAGCACCTGCGCCTGCGCGAACGCGCTCGCGTTGCAGCGCCCTCTCCCGGCAGGTGCAGGCCTCGTCCCCGCTGGGCAGCGGAGCTTTTCCCCAGGCGGACTGGGCCTCCTCCGGGTGTGCCACCCAGTGGGGCGCAGGTGCCAAAGTCCTGAAGGCGGGCCCCCTATGATGCCTGTTCCTGCTCCCTGGGCACCTCCCTTGGGGATGGACCCGTGACCGACGAGGGGACAGAGCCCCAGATCCTAGGGGGCCTCTGAGGACGGCAGAGGCCGTGGGCAGTGCTGGAGTGAGGGCAGATCGGGGGCTGCTCCTTCTGACCCAGGACCTGCAGCTCCGAGGGCTCTTTGTGCTTGAAACGGGAGAGGCTGGAGCGAGGGGGAGAGGACAGGACCACCCAGGGGCGGGGTGAGGAGCTCTGAGTAGTTGGAGGGCGGGCCCCTTATTTCTTCCAGGTGGGTGGGAAGGGCCTCTCCGCTGGAGGTGCCAGCGGACAGTGTGGGCAGCACAGGCGTGGCCAAGGCTGAGCTCCAGGCCCCAGTGCCGCCACTCGGACTCAGCCCTAGTGTGGTGTCGGTGTTTGTATTCACAAGAGGTGTCTAACGTACATTCTGGGGCCAGGAATGCCTACTAGGCTCCTGGAAGCACTGTCAGCCTCCGCTGGGCTGTGCAGCCTTCGGTAAGGGGAAGCGCGCCCCTGGCCCCTCCTTGTGTAGGAAGGAAAGCAGCTGTCAGCGATGGATTTGATGTTCCCAGCGCGCCCCCAGCCGCCGCTCTGCCTACCTGCAGGGAGGCTGACGCAGCCTCCAGGACCTGCTTAGGACTGTCCCCAGGCTTAAGTTGGTCCAGTTGTTCAATCACAGTTTCAATGCATTTTCCATAGTAGGCCATCTTTCCAGGTCAGGACCCTAAAAGCAAACCAAGTGGTCACGCCCTCCATGACCTCCAGGTTGTTAGCTGGGCAGACAGAAGCAGCCAGACAACTCTCGCCAACACTGGCAGGGAGCCCACCAGGGAGGCAGGGATCTTGCTGGGCGAGGAGCGTTGGAGGGAACTGAGGACCCTGGCTGGGGTAGGCCCTGGCCCACTGCTTGGACTGTGGCCTGGACCCCCCACTCACCCACAGCCCTGGAAGCTACAGGCTGCCCCCCCACCGTGTGTCCCCAAGCCCTACAGCGGTGCAGAGGTGGAATGACCCTGGGAGGGGCCAGGCCAGAGAGTGGAGACACCTGGTGAGCCAGCCTCTGAGGGCCCCTCAGTCCAGCTGGGGGTTGGCCCTGCCCAGAATGGGAGGGGGACCCAATTGCAAAAGGCTGTGGTGAGAAGAATCCTCGAGTCACCAGGTCCAACACCCCATTTCAAAGATTTGGGAACCAATATCCAGAGACGATGCAGAGCCGGTGACTGGCCAGGCCTTGTATGAACACTGAACATTCTGGGGCACACCAGCTGGGGAGACTGGCTTTCCCAGAGCCCCTCTGGGAGACATGGGAGGAAGAAGCTTTTTGTGGTGCGCCTGGGACCCCAGGAAATGCTTCTCGGGGTGGGTGGCCAGGCCCAATCCATCCTCCTCCACTGCCCACTCTGTTCCATGCTGATGGTGCAGCACCTCTCGTGATGCTGGCCTTCCTGGGCACCAGTTCCTGGCAAAGCCAGGCTGTTAGGGTCCTGGGGACAGCACGGACACTATTCTTCCACCCTCCAACAAGCTAGATGGCTCCAGATAGCAGCCCCCAGACCCAGATCCTCCAGGCTGCAGATTGGATGAAAAAACAAGAGCTACATAGACTGACACTTGGGTCCCCAGTGAGATGGCCAGTCCTAGCCAGTCATGGTCCATTGGCTGAGTCCCCCAACATCACTTTAAAGAGAATGAGGGCCAAATGCCAGCAGATACGTCAGGGATCCTCCAACACAGAACGCTGAAACAGAAATCAGCGATAAAGGAAGCAGGACGGAGCAGACAAAGCAGCAGCTGGGAACGCCTGAAACCAGCAACTGTCCCACCTCCGAGAGATAAAGACATGGTACATTTGAGGAAAACAAAGAGTTCTTGGAAATTAAAACATGAGAGCAGAACTAAAGATGTAAATAGGAGAGGTGGAGATCTCCTAGAGCAGAAAAAGACGATGTAGAAAGTAGGAAAGAAGCCCCAAGAAAACCAGGGACCCACCCCACAAGGCCGAGTTCCAGTTAGCAGGGGTCCCAGAAAGAGGAGGAGCAAAAATGCACGAGAATGCCCCAGATCTGAGGCTGGGTTTCTGACGGACAGCGCCCTGCACACCCTGACCTCTCCCAAGGGAGGAAGCCGGTCACAGAGGCAGGGACGTGAGGGTAGAGCAGCTTGGGCGCCAGGACAGCAACCCTGGGCGGGACTCAGGCAGCTGGACGCCACGGGGGTGTGTGGGGAGACCAGTGGCGTCTGAGGAAGGCAGGCCCTGCCCTTCCCTGGGGGAGTGAGCTCAGGAGGAGGCAGAGATGGGCCCAGAAAGGAGAGAACGTTCAGGAAAGTGACAGTGAGTGGCAGGCACGGGGGATGGGCTCCAAGAGGAGGGTTGTATCAGGCCCTTCCCCACCGAGCAGGCAGGGCAAGAGGCTTGGCCAGCCTCCCTTGGTCAGGGTGGAAGGAAGCTCTGCAGCGGCCTGCCCAGGAGCCCTGAGTCCCACTCCCCTGCTGGCTGCACACCTGGGCCTCCGCCCCACGGAGACAGGAGGCCTGCACGGGCTGTTCCTTCAGAGCTGCTTCAGGGCCAGGCTTTGTCTGCGTATGGACACTAAAGCCAGCAGGAGCCTCTCCTGCATGAGGCTGGGGGAGAGGCCCCTAGGAGTGGGAAGTGCGCTGACACTGGCTAAAGGCCGGGTGCCAGGACAGGCCGGGTGCCAGGACAGGCCCTGGAGATTGAGTCTGGGAGAGTCAGTGGTCTCGGAAGCAGTTCTGCAGACACCAGGGCAAACTGCACGAAGCCACGGTGAAACCCACAAAGGATTATGGTAGTGCCCAGGAGTCCCTATTTCTACATCAGTTCTTGCCTCAAAGGGTACCTGAGCCATTGGTACTGAGTAAGGGAGATGCTGGTACAACTGGGACACTGGCACTGCCCAGGGATTGCCCCGGGCCCAGTGAGCTCAGGCCCACAAGAAAGGAAGTCAGGGGCTCCCCTGCAGGCACAGAAAGGGGATGAGCTTGGCGGCCCATTGCCCCTATTCACCCCTGTTCCTTCTTCACCAGGGTCACCCGCATTGAGGCTGATCTGTGGCCTCTAGAGTTGCAGTGGTAAGAAGGATGAGTGGGGACATGGGGCAGGTGTGTGCCAGGTGATCTGGTTTGTCCCTGCCTGTGGCCACGGGTGGTGACAGCTCTACTGACTGAGAGAACACATACCGAGCGAGGGGCTTCTCCCAGCTCTGGCCTGCAGCGGGCCGCCAGGGGAGCAGGGAGCACACCATTTTCTGCAACAGGAGCAGCCCCTAGCCTGCTGGGTTGTCCCACTGGGCCCCTCATCCCTTCTGCCTGGGGCTGGCTGGACCATGGGAGCAGCCCCCACCTCTGACACAGGCAGGCAGTGAGGAGTGCGTGCCTGGGGCAGGTACAGGCGGGGGCCACTGCAGAGGCCCCTGGCTCCACTTCTGGGTCTGCTGGGTGACTGAGGACCAGAGGCTAACCTCTCTGAGCCCTGGGGGCTGCAGAGGGGGCAAGACTGTGGGCAGTAAGGTATGACACCCACTCCACCCCCAGCCTGAGACCTGACCTTGCTGCCACCTCTGGCTGGTTTCGTCCTGTCCCACCCCTCCTCCTGGTGGTCTCAACCTGCCTCCCTGGACCACCCTGGTGGTGTCACCATCTGTCTGCTGAGGGCCTGTTGCCCTGCCCTACAGGCATGGCTGTGGGGTCTCTGCTCCACTTCAGCTCAGTCCTAAGTGAAAAACAACACAGCCCCTCCAGGCATCTCTGAGCCAAATGCAGTCCTGAGGGCTGTGGGGTGGGGGCTCCGGTGAGCAGCGTCTGCCCAGGTGCCCCCTCCTAGCCACCCCTCGGGGCCTGGTCCTCAGAGGGAGAATGCTGGGCCTTGGGTGTCCTGGAGGGAGTGGAGACCCTGGGAGAAGCCCTGGAAAACACACTTGCCCCCATGGGTTGCAAGGCCCTCGCGGGACCTGGTTCTGTTCAGCCTAGTGCAGCTAATGGACAAAGGACATTTGAAAGGTCCCCACACTGACCATCCCTCCTCCCGTCAGAGGCACTGCAGGCAGGATGAGCTGGGAAGGCTCAGGGCCCGATGGGGATGAACCTGCCTGGGCTGCCTGTGGGCCCTCTGGGTGAGACCCTCACGACTGGGCACTTGTGTTCAGCCGGTCTGTTTCCCCAGGCCTCACGTCTGAGGGGCTCTCGAGGGACACCTCCAGGTGAGGCTCACCAGTCTGGCTGCGCCCTGGCCATAAATCCACTCACCAGGTCCTGGCCCCCACCTGACCCCCAGCAAGCCCTGTCCTTCCAGGAGGGTCTTCCTGACTGGACGGTGCGGTGCAGGGAAAGGCAGGAGGGCCCAGGGCCGGGTGCGGCAGGCGGGGAGGGTTTGGGGAGGCCCCGTCTCGGGTCAGGGAGCGCCCTTCCACTCCATCCATCACTAACAGAACAGATCCCCCAGCCTCCAGCTGCTGCAGGACCCATGGGGCTTCCTCAGCACGTCCTACCCCAGCCCCTGAGGCCCTCGCCCTCCCTCACTCCTGCACCCAGCTCTGTCGATCTAGCTACTGACTGGCTCAGAAGCCCCTTTGCATGTCTCCGGAACCTCAAATACTCTTCTTTCTCCTCTCCCTGGGGAGCTCCTAGGCATCCCCAACACCCAATTCATGTGTCACCAGCTGCAAGGCCTGTCTTCCTCCTGCCTTGGCTTTTCCCCTCTCCGTGCCTCCCCTGACGTCATCCATACTCCCTCAACACTGCCTGAGCATCTGGTGCAAGGCCCTGCTTTATTGCCTCTGTGTCCCTGGCTCTGACACTACAGCTGGCACCCAGCAAGTGCCACAGAGATGTCAGTGGAGTGAATGACCAGCATGTAAAAATATACGGAAGGGCCAAGTGCCCTAAACAGTCTCTTGGTTTTAGTCTGAAACACAGCTCTGACATTTGGAGATAGATCTGCCCAAAGTTTATACTAATGCTTTTCTAAGCCTTTGCTTCCACGGGGCCTGTAGTTCGACAGAGTTCAGTTTTGTCGTCTCATTTAACTGGAAAATAGTAGATGTTGTAATATTTACTAAGTGAGTAAATACGGAAGAGAACAAATGCTTGCTGACCTGGGGGTAGGGGTGGCGGTGAAGCTCCCCATCCCTAATCAGGATTTTGTGCCTGTGGAAGACCCCAGGGCCCAGGCTGGGTTCTAAAGCCCTGCCACCGCACACGCTGTCTGGTGCCTGATAACGTCTCAGGATGAGCCATAACTTCGTGGAAGAGGCAGCACATCTGACAGGAAAGGAAAGCGACATCCACTCGTGCCAGCTCATGAGGAAAAGAATAAACCTAGGCAAAAAGTCTATTTTTATAGAAACAGTGTTAAGGATAGAGTTTTTCTTGCGTCTTCCATGGCAGTCACACTGAGGGACTGCCCTGGGATGGGCCCCAGCCCTCGATGCTGCTCTGCCTGGAGGAACCACATACATGCTGGAAAAGGGCTCCATCCTGCACCTGAGGGACAGTGCGAGTGGGGGTCTGTGCGTGTGTAGTGGCAGCTGGTCCCAGGGCAGGGTGGCTTCCCTGCCCTGCCTTCTGTCCTGGGGTTGAATGTTCTCAGGAAAGGGTGCTTTCAATCAGCTCTTTGGGGGAGCAGGAGGACCTCCCAAGCCCCTTTCCCCCACCAATCCAGAGTGGGCCTGGATGGAATGATCTGGAAGAAATGGGTGGTTGAGCCAAGCAGAGTATGTGGATGGGGAGGGGAGTGCATGCGGGCTGTAAGTGGGGAGAGGTCCTGGAGGAGCACCACTGGGCTGGCATCCGAGGGCTCCCCGGGCTGGGGCTCTGCTCCCTGGCCGGGGCAGATGCACCAAACAGTGGACATCAGGACAAGAGGCTCCTGAGTTCTGCACTCCCACTGAAACTGGCCTGGGAACTTAGTCAACATTATCACACCTTTCAGCAGGAAAGAGATATTACAGCTCATCTGATTCTGATGCATGCTTTTAGCACCTCAAATTTGGTGGTGTAAAACCAGATATGTGGGAAGTGGGATTTAATTCCCAAGCTTTAACTCCACAAGTCAGGACTTGACTGGCTCATATTTAAGGACTCTTTAAAGGCAGACTGGACGAAAGCTTCTCTTTTCTTAGCTAATCCTTTACAGACAGACATGAGATTACATGAGGAAATTTATATTCCAGCAGATGAAAACCAGTTCAACACTCTTCAGCCACTAGAGAGGCTTCACTTACATAAATCCCAGATGTGTATTAATTAAAATATTTTTTTCCTGGCTTTTAATTCTGATAAAGACAATCTCCTAAGGGTTTCTGCCAAGTCATGCTCTGATGGCTTGTGCTTAAAGCACAGACCCACGTGGCAGGCTTTGTACTTGCTTTTCAGTAGTTATTCTCCCTTTCCGCCTGAGTAACAAATCGCCGATTTTTAGTTGGGCCTATAGCTGCCCAACTGAAAGATGACATTTCCCAGTTTGCCTGGCAGCTGGGTTTGCCAAGAAGTGGAAGGGTGTGAGACTTCTGGAAAGTCTCCTCGAAAGGGATGGACATACCCTTCTCTTTTCCATCCTGCTGCCTGGACTTAGCAGGTGATGGAAGGAACTTGTGCAGCCATTCTGGGCTGTGAGGAAACTGTTAAAGATACAAAAGAATAAGCTAGAAGAGCCCAGGTCCTTGACAGCTTTATGGGGCTGCCATGCCTCCCAGGATTGCTTCCCCAGTGGATCCAAATTAGGAAATCATTAGGGGAAGTGGTGAATATGGGAGAATATTTTTTTAAAAAGCACCATTTATTATGGCAATTAAAAATAAAAAGTGCAGTTAACTTTAATCAAGGAGCCGGGAAGAAGGTCAAGGGCCTCCTTTATGAAAACATGAACCATCTTGTTTGGGGCACTGTGACGTTGGGATTTTTTGTTACATGCAGCTGAACCTAATCCTAACTGATATACCTATTTCCTTGAGGTTGGCCTTCATGCCAGTGTTAGGGTACGTAGACAGCTAGACATAAGCAGGGAGAGGAAGGACATTGGTCAGATGCTTGCTTACATTCATTCTACACAGTCTGTACAAGCTGTTCTCTTGGGATGAGGAGTGACGTATAGATAAGAGATCAGCCAAAACTGGCTAGAAGGAGGAGTTGACCTTGACTTCACCTCCAAATATATTATACTCTCACTAACATAGTAACAATCACACCTCCCCACGCCACAACCGTTAAGAGGAGAACCAAATACAGCCAAAAAAACTGCTCGGGCCGACGTGAGGGTGGAGCAAGAACGAACTCCAGGAAGCCTCTACCTGTTCCCTGTGAAACCTAATCTCACTTGGTGAATGTTCATCCTCTTCGTATAAAAAAAGGCTCCCTATTGTTCCCCAGAATGACCCCCTCTGGGTCTGCCCACACCCTAACTCTCAGACAAGTACTGTCCTTTCTTTAAACTCTAATTCTCCAAATAAACCCTTAATGCTCACTGGCCTTTCTGCATCCGTTCTTGAACTCTTTCTTCGTGTCTGGTAACGCGAGCACAGATTCAAGCAGGGAAGCATGTGAAGGGAGCTTCTGAGAAGCAACAGCAGCTCGGCCTTAGAGTCAGCCAAGGACAGACTGACTGACAGGGAACAGTCCACCAAGTGTGTACGCTGAATTCTCCTGCTGGAAATGGTGGCTGGGGGAGGAATAGGTTTTATGGGGGAAGATCGAGAGTGCAGTTGGACACGTTGAGTTTAAGGAGATATTAGACATCCAACCGGCAAAGAATAGGTAATGGAACTTACATAGTAAAGTTCAGGCTGGAGATGTAAGTTTTTTGGAAAGGTTGGGAGAAAGGTTTATCAAACTATGTGACTGCAGGAAGTCATCCAGGTTGGGAGTGGATACAGGAGCTTCTGAGGACTGAGTCCAGGGCCTCCAGTGTTAGGATGCTGGGGAGCAGGGCAGTTGCTAGCCAACGAGACTAGGAGGGAGCAGTCAGGCGAGGAGAGGTGGAGACTGATCCGTTCCAGCCAGGTGAGGAGGGTGCATGCAGGAGGGAGCATGAAGTGCTCTGGTCACTGGATTTAGCAATGTAGGGGTCAAGGGTAACCTTGATAAAGAGTCGCGGAGGAGTTGTGTGAAAAGCTGATTGGACTGGGCTCATGGAAAGAGGAGATAAGACGCAGTCTGGTTTTGCTCTTTAGGGGCGCAGTGACTGTGTGGTAGCTACAGGGGAGCAGAGATCAATCAGTTACCCAGACATGATCGTGGATGGCAGGCCGGTACTTCTCAGGTGCTGTGAGCGCCCAGACTCACATTGACTTTAGTGGCAGACAGGGGTCAGGGAGTCCAGAACCACCTGAGCGTCAGTGACATGAGCCCCAGAGGATAAATTCTCCATCAAGGGAAGTGTTGCTGTCTCTCCCACGTCCTAAATCTGCACTGTTCAGAACACCCGGAGAAGTGGTGCTGCGTGGGGACAGGGGAAGCCTGCCCTCCCTGGGGATCCCCTCCTACCGGCAGAGCGCAGCAGCTGCTCTGCGCCGTTTCTTCAGCTGTCAATGGGAGTTTAACGTGAGGCCACATGTTTATTTCCAGCTGTCTGACTGGCACATAATAGGTTCTCAGATTTTGGTGATTGTTTTTATGGATCCAAATTAGGGCATCGTTTGGGGAAGTAGTGAATAAGGGAGAACATTAGTTAAAAAAGAACCGTTTGTTGTGGCGATTAAGAATAAAAAGCACTGTTAACTTTAATCAAGGAGCCGGGAAGAAGGTCACAAAGCCGGTGAGCGGCAGCAAGAGGATGGGAAGCAAGGATGAGAGCTCCTTTAGACCGGGGAGCTGCTGGCGAGGGGCCGCGGGCCGCGGGGGGACAGCCTTGCCTTTCTCCCTTAGAGCACACCTGCTCTCTCCCCCGCGTACCTGCCGGCCGGCTCCGGGGGCGCTCCCACCGCCGAACCTCCCTTCTATCCTTCGCCTGCCGCCAGAGCAGACGCCAGGGTCAGCAAGCTCGGGAGTTCCCAGCGTCACTCCTGATCCGCCGGGACCCCGGCAACCGCGGCAGGCGGTGACGCAGCGGTGCTGTTTGGGCGTCGTCACCTAGCAATGGGCCGTCCGCTCCGGCGCCACAGGAAGACTACAATCCCCAGAATGCACAGCGCCGCGGCCAAGGGCGCCGCTCACGGGGCCCCGTCCCCTGCAATGCCCGACGGGGCTTGTAGTTTCTCGACTCCGCAGGGGCGCCAAGACGCCCTCAGAGAATCGCGCTTCGGGCGGGGCGCAGCGCGGCGCCGGGATTGGGCGGCGGGCGACGGCAGGGGCTCGCCGCGCCTCGGCGCATGTGCGGCGCGGAGCGCGGCGGCCCGCTTGGCGCCGGCTGTCAGTGAGCATCCAGGAGCCGGTGCCCCGGGTGCCCTCCGCCCGCCCGCCCAGTGCGCTGCTCCCTCAGCGCCTCCGGCCGCGCACCTGCCCGCCGCCCGCCCGCGCCCGCCCCGCGCGCGGCCGGCCCGGGCGCAGCGCTGCGGCGGCGAGGGCCGCCGGAGCCGGGCCGGCGCGGCGATGATGAACAGGTTCCGAAAGTGGCTGTACAAACCCAAGGTGAGCGCCGCGCAGACCCCTACCCCGTGTGACCGGCCCTACCCTGGGGCCGCGACCCCTCCCTGCACCCCGCGACTCGCCTCCCCCCATTATCCCGGGGCCGGAATGCGCCTCCCCCGCGCTTTCCCCATACTCTCTCCCCGGGGTGCGGACGGGACTCTCCTTCCCGAGCCGGGACGGAGCCGCGCCGCGGCGCCCTGGCGGCCCCATCCGCGTCCCTGCCCACCGCGCGCTCTCGAGCCTGGAGGTGGCCTGACTGGCTGCGGGGCCGGGGTCGGTCGCCGCGGCGCGCCCGGTGCCTTGGCAGCTGCGCCAGTCGCACTGCGGGCGCTGTGTCCCGGCTCGTGTCCGCGGGGCTGGTGCAGCGGGAGCGCCGCCCCGGGGTGGGGTCACCGCGGCGACCTGGGGCGCGCGCGGAGCCTTCCGCCGCGTCCGGGCGCTGCTGCGGCCGCAGTGGCGCCGAGGGACCCAGGGACCCCGCTCCCCTCCCGGGGCTGACCGCTTTTCTGCAGGCCGCCCAGGGTGCGGGGTTTCCTTAGATCCGGGCCCCCTGGTGCGCCCGCTGGAGAGCCGCGGGGGCGTTTGGGGCCCGGCGCCGAGGTGCTGCGGTGAGCGCAGGGACCCGAACGGCTCGTGCTTTGTGGCCTTGGGGTCGCAGGGTTCTCTGAGCCCTGGGCTGAGGGCTTGGGATGCCTGGGGCCCCTTCTCGGCCTTGGCTTTGCCCAGAGGGATTGGGCTTCTTCGGTGTGTGGTGCAGCCACATCCCGGCTCCCGACCCCCCTGTCGGGTAAGCAGCTCCTCATTGGTGGCGGCGGCTCCGTGCGACCCTGGTGCTTCCGGGCGCGCGTGTTTGGGGCCTCCCTGTCCTTGCACAACTTTGGTCCAGCCCTCTCCTCGCTGCAGTCTCTCCAGGGCCGCCACGGTGGGGCCTTCTCTGCCCCGCAGTCGCCGTGCAGGTTGCCGGGGCAAGGTGTCAGCCTCCGCACGGGGTATCAGTACGAGGAGCGGCTTTACGTTCGCGTGACTTTTGTCCCCAGTGGAGGAAGAACCAAGTCCACTTGTCAAAGGTCGTTTTGGCGATGGGCAGCAGCATTCTTTTTTCAGTGACAAATGGCAAGGGCAGGAAGGGAACTGTATCACAGGTCAGGTGACATTCAGGTTCTCTGAAAACACCTTTGTCAGGCGTCCTCGGGCTCCTGCCTTTTTCCAGCCGAGGCTGTTTGCGGGATCGCCTGACTGTGTGTTGCCTGAAGGGAAAGAAAAGCATCTGTGGGCTCTTGTTTCATCCGCAGCTGAATAATTTCAGTGGCCCTGCCTGTTTCAGTATAGAAGAAAATCTTTAAAAGTGGAAGCCGATACTGCCTTGAAGTTGTGCCCCAGAACTGAGGATCGCATTCCTGGTTTTCCCCCTTCTTCTTGCCCTGGAGGTGAGCTCCAGGAGCTGATAGGCAAGGGCGGAGCTGGTGAATTCGCCGCCTTGGTAACGCGGCCCACAGCGCTGTGCTTTATGGGAGGGAAGGGGTTAGTGCTTCATGCAGTCCTCTCCTTTTCTTCACTGTCATCTCTTGTCATGTTGTCTGATATTTGTCCCTGACGCCTGGACTCAAGACACGTCTTCACCTGAGGGGTGTGTGTGTGATTCTTCATGCCCAGGGAGTGGTGCCCAGGGTCATTCTGACCTAGGGTAGTCCCAGAGTTGAGATCTGTCTCTGGACTTAAGTCTTGTTTGAAGGGTTGGAGTTCTTTTAGGTCACCTAATAGCTTTTCATTTTTAAAACTAAATCTCAGATTTTTGCCTCGGATTATCAATTGAATTTCATGCTTCCCCATCCTTCTAACTTAACACATTTTAGCTTAAGTGAGCACAAAGTCAGTCCTGGGAAGATCCCAGGCTTCGAAGAGTTGAAGTGTTAAATGTTGGCTATGGGAGTTGTCTGGGGAGATTGCTGCCATCAGGGAGGGCTTGTTCAGTTTTGTATTTAATAGATAAACAATTCAAACCGAATTCTTGATATAATTCCTGCTTTGCTTTAAAAGTGAACACTGATCCAAATAAATAATTCACATTAAAAAATGGGCAAAGGACCCAAATAGACCTTTGTCCAAAAAGACAGACAGCCAACAGGTGTATGTAAAGGTGCTCACCATCACTAATCATACAATTCAAAACCACAGTGAGATAGTAATTACATCACACCATATATGACAGATAACAAGTGTTGATAAGATATAGAGAAGAGGGGATCCTTGTACACTGTTGATGGAAATGTAAATTGGTACAGCTCTTACGGAAAAATGATATGGGGCTTCCTCAAAAAATTAGAAGTAGAACTATATGCAATTCAGCAATAATACTTCTGGGCATTTGGCCAAAGAAAATGAAATCAGGATATTGAAGATAGATATAGAGGAAATTGTACCATTTACAACAACGTGGATGGACCTTGAAGGCATTATGTTGAGTGCAGTAAGCCAGACAGAGAAAGACGAACATTGTATGATCTCACTTATATGTGGAACCTAAAAAAACTGAACTCCGGGAAACAATAGAATGGGTTGGAGGGTGGGGAAAATGGGAGATGTTGGTCACAGGGTACAAACTAACAGTTAATGATGAGTATGTTTGAGGATTTAATGTACATGGTGATTATAGTTGATAACACTGTATTTATACTTGCAGTTTATGAAGAGGGTATATTTTAAGTGCTCTCATCATGAAGAAGAGAAAGGAAGAAAGAGAAAGAAAAGAAAGGAAGGAGGGAGGGAAGGAAAGAAAAAAGAATATGGTATCTCTGTGATGTGATGGATATGTTTATTAGCTTCATTGTGGTGATCATTTCACAATGTATACATATGAAAACATCAAGTTGTAAGCTAAGCCCTTTAAATAAAAACCCAGAGGCAAACACTAGACCAAATACTAATAGTCACGTCATCCCAAATGTAAAATTGTCCTGATTTCCCTGAAATGCTGACTCTGACCTTAAGCAAAATTTAAGCTTTCTTCATCTGAGTGTGACTTTGCAGCTTTCTAGCTAATCAGCTACAAATAGGTTTATGCAATGAAAAGGAATGTAAGTTTGTTGTAACAAATCACAATCAATAGAAAACAATGTACCTGTTCATGCTTTATAAACTGAGTTTTAACTACTAAGAGCTGAACTTCTTACCCATCTTTGGTTTGGAAATCTCCTTGTTCTCCAACAGTTTCTTGTTCAATAAAATATCCGCATCAAAAACAAAAAAACAAAAAAACTGAACACTGAGCTTCTTGTTGATTACAGTGCAATGGAAAATATTCTGAAACCAAAATATTTGTTCTTTTTGCAGTTCTAGAAAGCATCTGGAAATATTTTAAAATGTTCCTAGGTGACTCTTAAACGTTTTGATATCTGAATCATTAAAAGTACCCAAGCTAAGTAAAAAATCCCAAACCCGGTGTATAATACAGTAGTTTAACATCAAAATGACATTTGTGAACTCTCCTATTTCCTTTTAATTTCTCTAAGGCAGCTTTTTAAATACTACTATGGTTTTCTTCATGTAAAGCTTTCAGAATTTGTAAGTATTATCTGGACTGTGAACCAGTGTGGAAAGGGTGGTGTTTGGGGAAGTTCATCAGTCTGTTCTTCTCTGTGGTGTTGGTCAGATACTTTTTCTTCTTTTGTTTAGAGAAAGCCTTTCCAAGAGGAGTTTACTTTTAAAAATGTGAGACATTTTGGAATAGTTGGTGTCTTCATTTGAAATAAAAATATCAACAGTTGTGTTTTCTACGGGGTTATAACTTTCTTGTTGATCCATGGTGGGTGTTAAGGGATGAAATCCGGGCCCAGGGGAGGGGATCCCGGGACCTGGCCAGGATTTCTTGGCCATCATCAAAGAGCATACTAATGATGGTACAGGAAAAATTTGTGTTTTCCATTTTTGAGGAAGAATTGATGAGCAGGTGGGTGATGCAGTACAGATGGGTGGCGGTTACCATGTAGTGGATGATCACCACGCACAGCTGTGCACCCTATGAACAGCTCTCTCATCTACACCCCAAACCACTTTTGGGGTGCAGGTCATTAACTTCCCTTGTCCCCCCTCTTTGGGGGGGACCATTCCTTGTAAATACAGTGCTTTACTGAGTGATGTTTATCTGGAAACTTTCTGGCCATATTCTGGGTTCAGATTAGCAATGAAACAGCCTGTTCAAAGAGAAGTCTGAGTAATTTGCTTTTTGAAAGAAGAACCCTTCGACCTTTGTGAAGTCTGCCTGGGTGCACACCCAGATGGGGTGTTTTGTGGAACCTCTTGCCTGTAGCTGTTGACTTAAGCCAGCCTCAGTTGGCTGGGGGTCTGTAGTTCCACCCAGGGTCCCTCCAGGTTTGCAGAGCCCTGGCTTGGGCCCCCTGACCCCCTGGCGGAGGGGGACAGCACCACAAGTGTGGCAGCAGACAGGAGCCCTTCAGGTATTAAGCCAGGAGGTTCTGGGGCCAGGGGAAAGGCCTGGGTTTGTGTCGGCATGGCTCCCAGCATGCATAGATGATGTGCAGCCCAGTTGTCCTTTCAGGGCTCCCTACAGTGGCCGAGGGTGAGGGGTGCTAACACAAATGACAGAGACCTGGAAGAGAAACCTGGGCAGCAGAGCCTGAGGCATGGAGCACTGTGGGAAGGCTCACTGTGGCAGTGAGGAGGGGGTCCTGCTGCCCCAGGGTCTGAGAGGGCAGCCTCAGCCCGTGACTCAATATACCCATTCTGCTTGCCTGGGAAACGAGTTCTGTCCTTATACTACTACGTCAGAGCCCCATGCCAGGGACAGACACTATTTTAGAGGCTTGGATTTTAGTAAGACCTTCTGGCCAGGCTGCTAGCTGGTTTGTTTCAGCCCATAAACCCTGAGTGCCCCGCTGCGGCTCCGGTTGACCATAGGATAGCTCATTTCTTTCCAAGGTGAGTCCAAAACCTGGCTTCACAGGCAATGCCAGGGCTGAGCACCCTCTCCCACTGGGTGCCTG